ATGCAGACACTGACAGGAAGGCCTGTAACTGTAATTACTGATTAATGTAATTGCAGTCCACAAATTAAATGAGTATAATTGGCTCAGAATATGTAGGGAGCTTCTCTTTCAGAGATTGCAATTGATGCAGATTACTAACCCTAACCCACACATAGTAATTAAGAAAATAATATTGGAAACTGGAAGTGGAATTAAAATACTGGCTCTGCATTTCTAATTAAGTCATTTGCTGCCTTTTGTCTTTAGGGACTGTACAGAAATCACAAGGGGATGGAGGGGTCAGAAAGTGGGAGTAAGTTGTACACTTTTCTTTTTGCCGAAGGGGTAGGCTTTTTTCAGCAAGCAGGAGAAGCACCTCTGAGTTTTCCCCATCCTGTATTTATATTTTCTGTTTGAAGAAAATCAAATAGTTACATCAGAAAGTTAACCTTTTGTGTTCTCCAGGTAATAAAGGTTCTCTTTGGCCGTACGTATTTCGGCTCTATTTCTCTTATCACAATTCAACGTATCCTCATAGAAAGGTTTGTATGATATCCTACGAAAATGCACACACAACTGTTGGTGTGATAGCACCGGATTAGCACCCCACGAATGACGTCACATCCTTAAAGGCGCTGTATGTAAGAATGTGGCCAAAACGGTTACTGCACTCAAATTCAAAATACTGCCGTGAGTCGTGTCCGCCCCCCCCTCCTCTAAAGATTCGAGGTTGCTGGACAGCGGCACGCTGGAGACTGATTTGTTTGCCCACGGGTGGCTGCTGTGGCAGGACTGCGTCGCCGCGTCCTTGATCTTCGGTTTTCCAGCTGACCATCGAGCAAGTCCGGCTTCTCTGCTGCTAACGCTGCTGCCGGGATACAGCTCATGAGGAGTCGGCTGCTAATGCTATGTACCGGGACACTGCTAATGCTGCTTGCCGTGCTGCTGTAGCTCAGTCGTAACTGTAACTGATGCTGAGACTCTACTGACTGTGTGACTGGTAGACGGCGGTGGGTGGCGCAACAGGCCAAAACACAAATTCAAAACATAAACATGATTTGCAGACCGTAAAATTTTTTTTTAAATGCGAATATTCTGGCTGTACTATTGTTGTCGGTGAGATCAGTATGTTATATGAACATTATTCCTTAGTCTCTGTGACATATTAGGAGGATTTTATGACTATTTGCTTTAGATTTCTTACATATAGCTCCTTTAACGTAAAGTTAGGTAAGTAACATAAAGTTTCAGAGGGTAGTTTTAGGCAAGTAAAGCCATTATAGTTAGGTTTTGGAAAAGACACATGGTGAGGATATACCTTAAGATAACTCAGAGTTCACTTCAGAACACAGGTCTCCTGGGGGAAGTCCTGGGTTTTGTAAACCATCCACTGAACCAACATACATTCTACCTGGACTACTTGGACCACCTCCTTCTATACACCTGTCAGCGCATAGCATTATACACAAATTACTAGTTCATCATTACATAGTAACAGTGGCGGCTGCTGGTCTTTCAAACAGGGGAAGCTCACTTTAAGTTTACATCATAAAATTTGTCATATTGTAGCGAGGCAGTAACTTATAAAAGGAACATTTAATTGAAGCAGTTTTTCAACCACACTCATGCCACAGAACCACAGCAAAACACACCTCAGAGATTTTCAGATGAGTTTAACGGTGAAAATGAGCTATATCGCTTATAGAAATACGGAACTCCGAACGGCACTCTGTCAGAAGACTCCACTCACAAATATCTGCATGGGACTGAGCTCGAAATGCGACGACGCCGGTGTGTATTTCCAAAGCGCTGTCAGTCACAAAGGGGTTCAGCCTTTTAGACAATTCCTCCAATCATTATGCATACACCGAGTCTCCTCTCCCGCCTACTGCTTCATTAGGTCCCAGGGAAGCTGAGCCTCCCTGGAAGTGACGATTTTGTGGCATTTATCCAATGACCGTCTCGCTTTGCTGCATGAAAAAAACTTGCTCAGCGCTGTCTCACAGGAATGATTGGATGCTCTGCGTCCACCGTGCTGATACGAGAAGGTATGACAGGGAGGTCACGTTTGAAAACTGGTGAAAAACAGCTGACATTTGAACATCATAGTCATGATGTTAAACGCATCCTAATGCGATGTAAATGCATATTTGACCATTTCTTCTATGAAATTTTAGGGGGAATTCAGCCTCCCTTGTTGTCTCAGAGAAATTGCCCCTGCATAGTAATGCATGAGAACAGCCTGCACGATCAGCAGCTTGTCTGAGCCATTGGGTGGCTGTAATGACTGTAGCAGCTCCTTATAAAACAATTCAAGAGTGGCTGTATTATTGCCATTTCAAGATCAAGATCAAGATCAAGATCAAGATTAACTTAAGTGTCCCACAAAGTGGAAAATTTGTCTTGGGCTCCTCACCCATAATGCAGCTATAAAAATGTAGAATTCTAAAATTATTAAATAATCAAATGATAAACCTTTGTTATATTTACCATAAAGAGTAAGTAATTTCATCCCCCTTGTTAACCTGCCATCCCTCTCTATCTTGTCATGTAAGTCGTGTTGAGAGAGTTTAGAGTCACCAATTAACCTGCATGTCTTTGGACTGTGGGAGGAAGCCGGAGTACCCAGAGAAAACCCACGCTGACACGGGAGAACATGCAAACTCCTCACAGAAGGGCTCCCTCCCGGGAACCCTCTTGCTGTGAGGCGACAGTGCTAACCACTGCACCCGCACCCGCACTATAGGAACAGACAAGACTAAATCCTGAGATGTCACATGTTATATTAAAGTGCCTTATAGGTAGACAATTAAATTCAATTAAGGTCACCTATGGTTGGACCGTGGTCTGGGTCCAGACCCTGATGCTGTCCTATCCTGACTCACGCCTATAACTTATAAATTGTTGAGAATTATTATATTTTGACTGAAAGCTATGATTTTAACTGGTGTAGAAATGGACCAGTCACATGTGCTGTAAGACATCAAACATGATGCTGCTCAGGCAATCAAATCTGTGCATCCCAATAAATCATACATCATGACTCCAGTCTGCGAGTGAGAAATATACATGGACAAGGGAGAGACGAGATGACAGACAGCACAGTTGGAGAAATAAGTGAGTCAGACAAATTCACATTGTAGTTCTAGAGAGAGAAAAGTAGAAAGTTTAACAGAGCTTTTAATCAAAAATGGATGGATTCATACAAGTTCAGTATTCCCCCGAGAAGTTCAGGATCTGCTTGTTAGCAGAATGACCAAAATGCATGCCCCTTGTTAACCTGCCATCCCTGCTCTGCATCCCCTGGTAGCAGAGAGTGTGCAGGGGCTGAGGGGTTGTTTAGTTGAATATGTTATGTCTTGTCTGCCTGATTCATTCATCCTTTATCTGACTGAGGTTTGTGCAAGTTAGAATCTATGGCCTCGACCGTGGCTCTGAAATATCAGTAATCTAGCTGTGCTGTGTATTGATAAATCCATGGTGCTGAAGTAGCAGACAGATTAGCAATTTGAATCCAACCCTTGTGTCAGTTTTGTGGCGGATCTATAATATTTTCTGAACTATATAGTTGGGGGGACTTTGCACTAAACATAACCCCCCTCTCCACCCCAATAATTTCAATAGAGTCCATGCATGTACAGACGTGCATTCGCCGCTCTTGCCTTACATTTCAACAACAGACTTAAAGAAAATGATGAGAATAAAAATAATTACCATGTTCCAAACTTGATTTGTTAAAAACAAAAAAGTCTACAAATTGAATCCTCTCCTTGTTCCAATGGCAGAATAAGCTTAAATGTGTTAATCACCATCAAAACAAGCCAACTCATGAAACATTTTTCAGACACAAAAAGGACTGAGGCATGTTTTTTTTTCTTTTTTTTTGGTGTTTGTTTCATTTGAAGATGAAAAAACAGTTCACTTCAAAGCCCTTAATCCATGACTGTGGTTATGATTGTATTTTTCATCTCAGTGTATGCCACCGTGATTTGTATTTTAAACCCCGTGATGAAGAGCGAGACGGAAACTCTCACTCTGGAGTTTTTTAACCTTTTTATCCGAGTCAATGAGCAAAGCCACAGATTAAAGCCTTTTAAGCTCTCTTCATAAAAACTGCCCTGGGTCGCTCCTTTTCGCTTGACATCTGAGTAAATCAGACAACTTGTAAACTGAAAATAAAGTGTTTAATGTGTTAAAAAGTCCTTATACTTTAGGTGCTTTACCACTGCTCCTACACAGTCTGTTAAAGCTTTACATTGTAGTGTTTTAGGGCGATTTTTTTGTTGATGGAAAGAGTCCAAAACTCTTTTTTTTTTTAAAGCTTCTGACCTCCACAATAAAAGCATAGTCAAAACAAAGAGAAAGTGCACCACTTGTAGGTGAGTTTCAAAACTACAGGTGTTTTCTGGCCTAAAATATTTTCTGAACACTGCAATTACCCGAGCACACAGGAAATGGCATGTTGGTGTCAGCCCACTTCAAACACTTATATAAAAGCATGCACTTATATTTCTCTCTCTTTATCTTTCTCTCACACAGGCAATTGCACAATCTGCCCACACACAAGCACTAAGTCTTACAAATCAATACCCTGTACAGTCAGGTTGTGCTATTGGGTTCCATCTCTGCTGTGAAGGCTTTCATTATAGATCTGGAAGCCGGTCGCTCACTGCTGAGCAATGCACAACTGGGTCAATGTCACCACACTTAGCATTTTTTCTATGACCCCATTCACATCTGGCAGCCTGGTCTAATTTTAAACAAGGGAAACTTGTAGACTATGTGCAAAAATACTCAGTACAAAAGCTCAGCTCCATGTGGATTTCTTTCAAACTAAAGTTATTATTGTGAAATAGGGTGCGTACAGCTACCGCATCCTCCCCAAAGACAGAACAGGATGAAGAGCATGGTGCACTTATTGGCTTTAAAACATGCAGATAAACAGCTCAATATTCTAGAATCAAGGATCAAATTATGATAAAATTACTAAAGTGAACACAGCACACAGGGACACAAGTACATACAGATCATTGAGGTTTTTAATAAACATCAACACATTTATGTACAAAGCAGGCGATGTCATATTCAAATGACCAAAAACAAAAAACAGAAAAAGAATCCTAAAATGTATTTTCTTCCTTTTCTCTGTCATTAAAATAGCTAAAGATCACCTCCGGGAATCAATTCAACAGTTCAACTACGCTTTTGGTGCAGTCAGTATAGTTACAGTTTGACAAAAACCTTGACAGATTATCTTCCACAGTTCAACAGCCCTGGGTGTGGGAGGTCAACAAAGAATTTCCCTCTTGCATGAAAAAAATTAATTATGAGTGTAAGATTCGTTAAAAACTTCACCCCCTGACAGCTATCCACAAGCACCAAGTTCATCTTTGTTCTTCAGCTATCCAATGGGATAAAAGCATTCATTGAAACTTGGACCCCCGTTTCCTCAGACGCAGCTCACGCAGAGGATCTACTAGTGGCCAGGGTGACATTTACAAGTAAAGCAGATCTTAAATGCATCTGTGAATTAAATGAAAAGGGCTTGTTGGGTTCTAACATTACCATTGCATGTCACTACGCATTATGTTGTCCATAACAACTCTCTCCTAGTTACCACATGAACACAATGCTGCAAGATCTGTTAGTTTCATGTGGTTATAGTCGTTTCTAAAGAAAATAAAAACACAAGACAAAGAACCTGATTGTCTGTTACAAAAAAAAAACAAAAAAAACAATGGCACAGTTGAGGACATAATAAACTTTCTCACCCCCAGCGCAAAACAAGAATTATGTTCTCCATGTGCACCTTGAGACGCCACCAAGTTGTTTTAATAATATAAACAGCAAGAGAAAGGCAAAAGCATATTTATTAAAAAAAACAAAAAAACACTGTTAAGCATGTATTTAGTCACACAGTGAATTAGAAATGTTCTTCTAAACAAGTAATAATTACCTACATTTACAGTGTGAAGTTTAAGGGAAGTTACATTTTCACCTGTCTGGTTTGTTATGAAGGAAAATAAAAAGTGTTACACAGATGTAGCTGAAGGTTGGTGGCTTACAGTCAGATCTTAGTTGTGATCAAGTCTTTCAAATGTTTGCACGCGACCAAATGTCATGTAGTCTTAAAATGCTATCATGGCAATTCTCAGCAAATAGTAACCGTATGATTTTTGTGCATCTTAAATTATATTATATATTATGGTGTTCTGCAAAACATGGCATGTTAGGATGTTGGTGGCAGATGAAATGTCCATTTAAATATACAGCAAATATGTTCGCAAGCTGGGAAAAAAAAAAATCCCAACAAAGCCCAAATGAAAGACCAGGTTAGAGTCAAACATCAGGTTAATGCTGTTTAAAATAGAGGGAATGAAAATCACACCCAGGGCAGTGGTTACTGAATTAGTCATGTTCTGTGAATCAAAATAATAACCTCTGTCAAAGCCGAAATTCAAACCTTTTCGCAGCAAATATATTCAGTTATTCCTATCCTTCAAAATAATCAGATCTGGCGCCCTGTTCCAGGATTCACATGTGGTCGCTCTCTTGCCCTGAAGACCCAGGCTTCTGAAAACAAATCCCACGTGAGGATCCACCGAAAACTTTCTCTGCATCGCTTGTTTATATAAAATCAGGGACTAGAGATAACCAAGGGGGAATACAGCAGAACAAGGAAGCAGTCTCCACTTAACACAATTCTTTAAGAAAGCATAAAAGTAAAATTTAGAGAAACTAATCTTTTACAAAAAAACACTTGCGCCACTAGTTAGTTTGGTTTGTTTCCTCTTCAGTCTTTACAACAGTGACCGCTTAAATGAGCAGCAACACTGAGGAGTTGGTGGTGAGAGTCACTACACACACACACACACACACACACACACACACTAACAATTCACACACAGACTCGCACTCTCAGTCATACAACTGTGCACACATGTCCGTATGTCCAGTTTACTCAGTGGTATCAGAGGTGACAGTCTGCCAGTCGCGCTCTCTCTCACACACGCTAACAGAAACAAACTGGGGAGCTGGTGCGCCTATAATCTAACTGTGACAACTAGGGTGCTCTTCTTCTTCTTCTTCTTCTTCTTGGTGGTTAATGAGGCTCAGTTAAGTCATCTGGCTGCCAGAGGGAACTGTGGGAAGGTAGGTCCTCCTGTAAAGCCTTTTTTTTTTTGTGTGTGTGTGTGTGTGTGTTTTTTTTTAACATTTTCCTTCAGTCCATTGAGGAGTGGCTGCATGCAGACAAAAAGAGAAACAAAGGTCAAAGTTTGATCGTCATTTAATGTCAACAGAGAACATTGGGTTTCATTATAACTTTGGCTTGTGTATTTAATACGCAGAGGAACAATACAGTTAGGGGAAGGCTGAAGGCATTTCGACTAAGTCACTATGGGCCTAAACAAGTGAAAATTGGAATAAATACAATAAACAGATATATAAATGATGAAGGATGTAGAGATGGACAACCCAAAGATGAGGGTGACAGTTGCTACGCCAAAGGGAGAATACATGAAGGAAAAGGTAGAATATTTCATAAAGATGCATGACTTGTTTTAGTTACCTATGATTGCAGAGAAGCAGAAAACATAGACGGGATCTTGGAATTTTAAAAATCAAAATGTAATTAGCTTTAAAATGCAGATTATCATGGAGTTTTGCCAAAATGTGGATGCAACTGATAAAGATCAGCGCTTTCTCTACCATTGTAAGCATTATTCTAACAGTTTCTAAGCCGAATGAACAGGAAAAAAACAATGCTGCTGTGGTGTCATTTATGGGCACGCTGCTTCTGTCCTCCGCTCTCAGCTCAGCTCACACACAACAGGGGCAGTTAATAGTCAATAAATGCAACCAGCCAGTTGATTAGGCCAATCCTCTAAAACTAGACAAAATCTAATTTAATTTAAAAAAAAATATTCAGACTTAGATTCGCAAGTGTCATTACCGCTCTACTCGCAGCAGCTGGTTTCACCGCGGAGATGTGAGTCACAGCTAGCTTGACCGAAGTTTTTTTTTTTTCCTCAGTCAGCCAAGCTGGATCAAGTCCTGCCCTCCTGTGCTTCTCCTCTGTATCAGGCTAGCTGTCACCTCCATGTCCGAGGTCAAACAGGCTGACACTTAAGTTGGAGTGCTCCTGTATTCTGACCTGTACTGTACTGAAACGTTTGTTTTGTTGTTGGGATCTTTTAATGTACTGAACCACTTTCTTTGATAAGAAAAAAAGTGCAAAGTTGTCCTACATCAAATTCACTGATTATTTTTTTTATTGTTGAAATTTTATTTAGACACTCATTCTGATGACAAAGTGTGCTTAGATCATAAAACACAGAATTCAGACAAAATAAACCAGAAAATACGGAATCTGAAAAAAATAAAATGGATTGTTTTTTTTTGTTTTTACAATTTTTCAAACAGGGACAGAAAGACGAAAACGGTTTCATTGTGGCTGGATAAAAAAACTGATTCCCGATTAAGTCAATGAATATGTTGCTACTGGACCAACGATCAACCGGACAAGATTGACATCAATTTAAAAAGCTTAAAATTGAAAAAACAAATGCATAATTTAGTTGCCAAAAAGTAATACTCAAATATTGAGGTCTGGAAATGAGAACCATGGCATGCAAAAGGCTTTTTAATATCCGCTGTTAAAAATCAATGTGCACAACGGAATAAATAAAACATGATCATTAAGACAAAGACACAGACTGACAAAGAAATAGAAGATTAAAAAGTGTTACCATGAGGGCTTGGCGGTTTTAGCTTTCATCATCTGAGACATGGGGTTTAGCAATGGCCATCTCCTCCTTGCTATTTGCAATCATCTTACACTTCTACAAAAACAGAAAAAAACAAACAAATGAGTTGCTTTTCAGTTACCCTGAAAAACACAACCACATTATGCACTCTTCAACATTTTTTCTATCAAACATGTACACAGGGCTCTACACTGCGACCACAATGGTCAGTCCACAAACATTTTTGGTGGGTATGTAAGTTCAAATTTCACATGGTCACATTCATGCCAGTGCACGCTGCAGACTGACATCTCTATAGCAACAAACAGGGTTACAGCTTTCTCATATATATCAGCTGTGTGAAATGTCTGCATCCTCACTGTGCTGCACTTTTAGAAATAATGATAATTTGGTTACATGTATCGTCGCTTCCATGTGCCCTCTCACTTCCTATTCTGCTATTACTATTTGAGTAACATTTCGGATTTAAAACTCATTCCCTTCCTTGGCATTCATGTCGTCTTTCTCAGGTGCCTCATCTTCACCTGCTTAGGGCAGCCAGTATTTCAGATTACACAAGTATTTGGCAAATCCATATGTAAAAAACCTAGCAACACAAAGGGTGCGGCCAACTCATGTGCTGGTGTGACCAACTAAGAAATTTGGTAGCATCAGTGATGCTGGTGAAAGCGTTAGTGTGGAGCCTGGGTAGACATTATTATTACAGTGTAATCACAAAAACACATGTAAACCATTTACCTCGGTAAGCTCCTTGATGGTGTGTATGTTAGCTTGCTGAGTGACCTTCCTCTTTGCCTCCTCGATGTGGTCCAGGTTAAGGGTTGGCGTTGGGGGCGCGAGACACGGGGGAGGCTTGTTAGTGATGGTCGGAAGCGGGGCGAGGGGAGGCATGGCCGCCAAAGCACCCATGTTGGTCAAGGCAGCTGTCATAGTAGCTGCTGTCATACTCGCCATAGCAGCACTCATGGTGATGTTTGACATGCTGGGCATTCCTGGAATATTGGGGAGCCCCATTGGACCCATGTTGGGCATATTCGGCATGTTGGGCATCCCCATGCCCATTGGGAGAGGTAAAGGTAGAGGTAAGGACAGGGGGGCAGGAGATGGAGTGGGCAGAGGGAGCTGGAGGATGGCTTTCGGCCGAAGACTCTCAGGAATGGGCACCCCCGCCTTAGCGCACATGGCAGCAGCATTAGCTTTGGCTATCTCCAGTAACTGGTCCTTATCTGAAGACAGACAGAGAGGGTTATAAGCAACAACGGGGAGCACAGAGAGGAAGATGAAGCAGACGAGCCATGTAAATAAAGTGTGAAAACTTTTTTCAGTTTGACTGTCACTGGTGACTATCAAAATGTTTTACCCAGTTCAGTGAGCCGTGGAGGAGTCTTGCTGGTGCTACGCCGTGTCCGGGACCCTGAGCGGCGCTGTTTGCGTAGAATGAGAACTGGAGAGTGGCTAGGTTCCCTTTTCCAACGGTCTCGCCTATCAAATGAACGACTGCGAAACACAGGGCGCCTTCCCCGACCTCTTGACCTAGATCTGCGTCTGCGGTCGGAAGAACGAGACCTTGATCGCCTGCTTCTGTCTCCTGACCTTTTCCTCCGTCCTGTTGAGCGGCTCTTAGATCGCTTGCTTCTCTCTGTGGACTTGGACCTCCTCCTTCCACGGGGGTTGGGTGAGCGGGATCGCCTCTTTCGGGTTGGAGAGCGGGACTTGGATCGGCGGGTTCTGGTTCGTGACTTGGAGTGTGATCGCTTACGCCGCGCGGGGGAGCGTGACCTCCGCCTCCGGGCAGGACTCCGAGATTTAGACCGTCGTTTCTTTCTTTCTGATGGGGAGACAGACTCTCTTTTCCTCACAGGAGACTTGGACCTGGGAAAAGATGAATGATAAAAGATGAACAATTTTGCAGACTTTTTAATTACACCTACTAGTGCAGCATGATGTCAGCATTAGAGCACACAACAAACCTAGACTGCTTCCTTCTGGATGTAGACTTGGATGCTGATCGTCGAGGTGAAGAAGTTGAGCGTGAAAGTTTCCTGCGATCCGTAGGTGTGCGTGACCGCTGCTTCTTCTGCACCCCCGGAGATGCTGAACCTGAGGAGCTTCTCTGGCGTTTAGATACTGTTTTAACTGGAGAGGAAGAATCCTCTTCTTCATCTGAGCCTTCGGAACAATCGGACCCATCTGGGTCCGTGCCAGGTTCTCTGGAACCAGACCTGGACCTGGAAACATCCCGTTCATTGGAGGAGCCTGTACGCTCCCTCTGGTCCTTGTTATGGTCTGGAGAAAGTCTTTTAGGTTGCTCCTGCAACATACCTGAGGAGCTCCCGGCTTGAGAACTGGAGGCAGCTGCTGGGGGCATGGGTTTCCAGCCACCTGCATCGTGAATGTTGAGGCATGTTAAGACATTTCAAGGCAACAGTAACACAAATAACTGTTGATCTGAGCTTTGAATTTTTGGAGTTTGTACTTTTAACTCTGTATATACTGCAAGTATTCAATAACAATAAACATTCACTGCTTGTTAAAAAAAACCAACAAGGAGCAAGATGATGTTTTCCAACTCTGATTGTCTTGAAGGCCTGAGAAGTGGAGAGTAACGTGATTGATACTTGAATTTGATGATGAGTATGGGCAATATATCAACTGTAATATTGCAGTCAAGTCAATGTTATACATCCAATTGATCTACAAGTAACATTTTCCAGATTGTGGAGAACAGCAATTTAAGTTTTTTTGTGATAGACAGAGAGCAGATACAGCAATTTTAGGAACAATATCAATTTAAGTTTTTATAGTGTGCCATTTGTGTTTCAATTACTCGCTATGCGTTACCTTGAATTTGTGAAAAATTTTGCATTTTTGCATGCCTCTACGATGAATAGAGAATCCAGCGAGTAACTGATAGACAAATAGTCATTTTGTGGGTGAAGTATTTCTTTAAAAATATAGCAATGAAAAAAAGACTGACCTGCTGTCGCTGTAAATCCTCCACTTTCTCCATCTGTCTGCTCTGCCTCAGGAGAGGAAGGCTTCATCTCTTTAACAGGAGAGGAAGATGTGGATCTTGCTGGGGAAGAGCTGTCAGACCTCTCATCACTTGACTCAGACCTGGACCTAGACTTAGATCTGTTCAAGCCCGCAGAGACAGATTTAGACTTTGACCTTCTTCCACTCTTTTTAGGAGATCTGGACCTCCTCTTGACAGGTATTGGTGTGTGTGACTTTGACCGATGCCTTCGAGATAACGAGCGAGATTTGGAGCGTTTGCCAGACCTTGGTGGTGATCGATTTCTCCTGGCAGGGGAACGGGAGCGCCTTCTCACTGGCGAGCGGGATTTGCTCCGCTTTCGGGAAGTCCTTGATCTGGAGCGCCGGTTGCGTTTAAGGACTACAACGGACCGTGACCGAGTCCGCCTGCTCCTGCGGACTGACCGGGAGCGTGAGCGGCGAGATCTGGGGGGTGGAGACCTCCTACGTCGAGACAAGGATCGACTCCTGGAGCGCCTACCTCCTGCACGTCTTGCCGGCGACCTCGACCTGGAGCGACGTACAGGACGTCTTGTTCTAGAGCTTGAGCGACGGTTTCTAGTGATGGACCGTGACCTTGAACGCCTGCTTACTGCACCGCCTCGTCTAGGTGAGCGGGCCCTGGAGTGCCTTGTGCCTCCACGGGACCGTGACTCTGACCTTCGACTTCTCCTTGGAGACCGAGATAGAGAGGGGGACCTGCGGCCACCACGTTTAGGGGATCGTGAGACCCTCTTTTTAGGAGAGTGAGAACTTCTGCGTCGTTTTGGAGAAACAGACAATGAACTCCTCCGACGTTTAGGAGACTTCCTTGGAGACTTTGACACCTTCTTCTTGGGGGTGAGGGAGCGAGAGGTGGACCGAGAGTGACGGGTAGCTCTCTTGGGAGACTTTGGGGATGGAGAGAGTGACTTCCTTCTGGATTTAGGGGACTGAGAGCGGGACTGAGAGCGGGACTGAGAGCGGGACAGTTGGCGACTCTTCAGAGGAGTTGTAGACCGTTTTCCCTTTGAGGTTGACCTGGAATGGGTTCGTGACCGTTCTTTTATTGCTGCTGCTGTTTGCCCATCAGACCGCTCCCTATTAGGACTAGGTGTTGGTGAACGACTATGACTTGAGCCAGACCTTTTAATGTCTAAAACCCTGGGAGGGGAAGGAGACCTGGATCTCTGAACTGAATTTGCCTGATCTTTCAGGCCTGGGTCGTCTCTTGGGGTAGAACTTTCCTGTTTAGGGATGATATCAGGGAGTTCCTGGGCATGGCTGAATGTACCATCAGCAAGACCACTCTCTGTCTTAACCTTAACTGTTGCTGTCTGCGTTATCTCATCTGGGCCTGCAGAGGGCAACCTCATATCCTTTTCTGATCGATTGGTATTACTGTCCTTTCCTCCAGCCTGGGACATATCCATATCTGATATCTCCTCTTTCTTCACTCCAAGCAATTCAGGTTTCTCCCCTCGTTTGCTTTTTGAAAGCAGTTTAGACACCGATTCTTGCAGGTCAGATGCTGTAGCTGGAGAGTACTTGCCATCACCAACCCCTTTCCCTCCTTCACCTTCAGACTCAGAGCCTGAAGCTGAGCTGCTTTCAGATGGCGAGCGAGACGGGGATTTCTTTTCCTGTTTTTCATCTTTCTTCCTCTTCTTTTTCTTCTTTTTAGCAGCGTGTCTTTTGTGTTTTTTGGATTTTGCATCTCCCTCTGTGTCTGCACGATCTGAGAGCAGAAGTAAAGAATCATTTTATTTTTTTAACAAGTGACTGGAATTAAATTATTACTTTAAAAGAAAATATGAAGTGCTTGTGGGTGAAGGTCTCCTACCTGTAATTGCATCCTTTTTGCCCTCCTCCTTCTGCCCAGCTTGGTCTCCAACTCCTGCAGCTGCAGCCAGTCTGGCACTACAAACACAAGGAAAATACAAAATTGCATTTTTTTCTTGTTAATGTGTAAAATCTAAGTTCCCAATACAAGTAAAACACAAGTAGGTCTCCTTTTGAGTTTGGGTAATGTACAAAATCTTGTATAAGCATTAGAAAAATCCTTTCAATAGGATTGGTGGCTTTTCTTAGACAACCCTCCAGAGAATATGGGAAATGTGGATTCCAAACCATATTCTAGACAATTACATCTGTGTCAACATGTTTGTGCCAAATGCCTTACACCTCATAATCCACACTATGTTAACATTTTCTGTGTATTAATCAATCACTATAACACCCACCAAAATTCCATTGTGGTGTTTTGTCAGATAGAGTCAAGTCTCGTACAACAACGTATCTAGTTTGCACAATGTGTTTTAATTTAAACTGAACTTTTTCTTACCTGGCTCTGGTGGTCCTGACCGGCCTCGGCGGCGGTGTTGGCTCTACATCCGACTCAGCACCAGATTCTGAACTGCTCTCCTTTTCCCCCTTTCTCTTCCTCTTCTTCTTCTTGCTCTTGTGTTTTCTGTGCTTCTTGTTTTTCTTGTGAGGTGGCTCATTCCCTTCCTTGGCATTCATGTCGTCTTTCTCAGGTGCCTCATCTTCTCCTGCACAGGGCAGCCAGTATTTCAGATTACAGAAGTGTTTGGCAGACTCATGATATGTTTAAAAAACAAAAAACAAAACCTAGAGCAAGCTAGGCTCTTTGATTAGTGCTGCACCTAAAAATAGTACATTTTATTTTGCTTGATCTGAAGGCTTGTGTTGATCATTGTAGTCATTTTACTGTCTAAAACGTTCAAGATATGCAAAGAGTGAAGTGATACATAGCTAGGGGACATTTGGCAGTCTTTTACGATAAATTAACAATTCAAACCTGAAATCTGGGAGAAAACAGCAGTAAAATTAACTAAATCAAAATGGGTAAACATTGTAATGACAAGTTTATTTGTGTCTTATCAATCACTCACCTGAGGGGATGTCCACTGCACATTCCATTGTGCCGGTGCCCCTGATTTTGTAGAAGACCTTCTTAATGTCACTGGCGTGCCACTCCCTCACTCAACACTGGCGAGAAAAACAAAGGTATTGTAAGTTAAGCAACAAAGAATGCAGCACCAACACAAGAGGATGTATAGATTTCGTAGCCATGCCATAGCAAATTATAAATAACACAATCATCTAATAAAAGGGTTTTTCCATGAGCCCTGGTCAGGCTGCTTTAGCCACTCCATGCTGTGCAAAGCCTAGACAAACTACAGCCTCCAAAATTAAAACTAAATCAATCCCTCTCTAAAAAAGTTTGAATAGAAACTTAACATTTTAACCTCCATGAAGGCAGGATTTACTGCAATTCTGTTGCATTAGACTACTGTTGCATATAGTCCCTCTGTGACTAAAACCAACATTGCAGACGAGAAATGCTCCAAGAATATCCATCTCCAAGAGGAAAGACTGGAACTGATCCATTTCCAATTTGTGCTCAAATGAGACACAGAGGGGGAAAAAAATAAAATACATTTTGAGGTCTCATTCCTAAACCTGAACAGGTATTGTGAGAACATCTTCTGATCATGTTATATTCAATTTTTCAACCACATACTGTTGTTCAAGCACAGTAACTTAAATGGACGATTTGGCATGCAAACTCGACAGCTTGTCTGTGAACACACAATCCAATGCTTAAACCTTCAGTATGTCTCAGCACAAATGTGGAAAGCTGATAAGATTACTGATAAGGATAACACAGTAGCTGGTTTCCCTTTGCTTTTGATTTTGCAGGCTGTAAAGTTTTCAATTAGTTTCCAAAGAGTCAGTACAAGGACAGGTGATAGTGAACAGTATTATGGGTTTCCTAACAGATCAGCCATCTTCAGGGAGAATAAACTGCCGGCAATACCTGCCTTATCACCACTGACCTGGATGTGACCAAACGTGTAACAAACACACCAAAAGCCGGAGCACTGGTAGTACAAGTCAATGGCATAACCATCTAAGACATAACACTAGACAACTTCCTAACCCAACAAAGGCAGCGTTGCCGTCCCCTGCAGCATCTCTCTAACCAGTGAAGTCGGATTCCTAAAGCAAACAAAGTCTGTAAACAACTAAATGCAAAGATTGACTATATTTCCTTGCTCCACATTAAAAACTGTCTTAGATCTTTAAAAGACAACTTATTAAATCTACATTTATTTTACTGTTAGCCCACTGCCCTTTGTATACATACGGATGACTTTATTATTTTTCACAAAATTTAAAAAAAATGAACAATTGAATAAATACTACGTTTGACTAAAGAAAGTAATGTTAGACGTCCTACAATCGTAAAGCTTTAATATGGCGAACATTAGCCCTGCTAGTATACAAACATAGCATGTGAGAAGCACTGTTACTCATAAACACTGGCAATTGAGCTAAACTCTCACTGTTTATTTAAATTGCGTTAAAAATTAATGAAAAGCTACTTAACCGAAAACAAAACCACGTAAACTGCACCGGCATTTGAGGTTATGTAGCCATAACACCTAGCTAACTGTTACCGCTTCAGTTGATGCTAAAGCTAACGTTAGCTATCAAAGGTACGGTTGCCGACATGTTACTTTAGATATCAAGTACCGTAAGCTAATATTAAGTTACCCCAACTCTTCGTTCACATTATAACACAGTGTTGAGTTACACCAAAAATAATTATTAATACGTATTGTTAGGCCAAAGCTGCATGGATAATAGAGGCAAAAGGAGAAAAAAGTTTCCAGTAGTAACAGACATTAAGACGTTAGATAACACTGATCACTGTCAGGCCTGCGTTAACGTTCATTCACAGATCACTGCGACTAGCTAACTACATCCCAAGTCAATATAACATTAGCTGTAATTTACTTCAATTAAATGGTTGATTCTTGAAACCTCACTTGTTTTGCACGCTCCAGTAAGGCAATGTATGGGCTGTAAGAGTCAAACATGCTGCCTGCACGCCGCGGCCTAAGCGGCGACCCACTGCCAACTCGTTCACCACAATTACCGCTAGCTGCGTTAGCATGCTGGTAGCTATTCAAACTAGCTAGGACATTAGCTGCTACTTGTTTCAACAAAGCAAGTTCGTTCGCTCATTACAGCAGCCGACTCTGTAGCATATAATTACCCAGTTTGTGTTCGGTTGATGCGGCCCCTGTGTAGAAAATGCCAGATAGCTGCAGTCCTTAGGAGTGTGAATCCAAACAACCGTTGAATATGCTAACCGTTTACGTTAGCGAACTACCTGATCCGCCATGATGGGGAATGGTATCCCAAAATGCCATGCTACGCGGTTTGAATGGCGGCGTCACTGTCTCCTAGGCAACTCTTCATGCTCCAAGGCAGCAGACCGGAGTAAACTATTGTGATGTGATACTGATAGAAATACAATGATTTTAATCCTATGACATCATCATATTTATTATTTCATGTAAGAAAAAGAATAACTGTATTCATGTCCGAGGGGAAATTCACGATGACAAAAGTTAAATGGGTGTATATGCGTAAATATGCACAATTACTGTGTGTAGTCATATTTTTTGTCTTTAACTTTGTCGTTCGTTTACTTGAAATTAAACTCAGATATTTTATTTCACTCAGGTTTTTGATCCATATTTTTACATACACCATCTTAATGAATTGCTCTTTTAGCCTATATTTTGGTCTATATATTTGGGCTATATTTCTTGAAATGACAAAAATAAACATAAATAAACATAAACTTAAAGGTGAACACTATGACACCGTAATTGGTTTGTATAAATAAGTAAGAAAAAGCCAACCCGAAAATTTGAACTGCCCCAGGTTGGCATCTGAAACCTCTGGAGTGTTTTAATTGCATTCCATGTTGTTACTTAATTGCCAGTGATTTTCTTCACAGTGCTCATACTTGACAACACATTTCCCATTGGCCAGTTAACTAAATGATGCATCCATGATGTAGTCTGAGACTTAGATGTTTGTAAAATTGCTGCCTAATCACCATACCTATAACAACAAAATGATATGCACAAGACAAGCCTTTATTTTAATTTCAGCTTCTACCTTCTCTGGTTGTGCATATAACTTCAACTGAGGTGGAACCACATCTAGTACCAGACATCAACAAAGTTTACAACCTTAGCACATAGTCTAATGTGTTTGTCTCATTGACACACAACCAGATGGCCTTTGTCTTGAGTGATTACACTTAAACAGAGTCACACGTGCTAATAAAGATCATCTGGGGCACGTGTTACAGATATTGAGAACATGTAAACGATATTCTTTGTTGTACTGTGCTTTAATGTATATTTTAAGCATCAAATATTAGAGGTTCTTGAAGCAAAACACATTTTGAGTGACAAAAAATTGTCACTCCTAACCTGAATTTCAGGATCTGTGCTTTTTCGTGACATGCTTACAGATTAAATGGCATCTTGAAGATAAAGCACATCACAGGTTTATACAATTTGCGCCGAATTTAATCAATATTATTAGCTTCATATCTATTTTTTTCCGAGACGTTGTTTTTATTTTGAAGGATTTAGACCGGAAGTCGCTACTGTAGCTCGCGCTACTGACTAACGTTACCCAAAGTCTCACTTTTCAGTGGCATGTGTTCACTTGGAAAGTCTTCATTAGCTTAAAGCCATGAAGAAGAGGTTTAATATCAATCTGGACGACTCCGCTTTCACCAAAGAGCGAGCACCGGTCAGTATTTTTTTTTATTTTACAACGGCTATGCATTAGCTAGCTAGCTAGCTTCAGTAACGTTAACTTTACAGTTGGTAACGAGCGTTACAGTTCAAAAATTCAACCTTTTAAATAGCTTACCAACTCAGCAACACAAGGTTTTGGTCAGTATAGTTTGCTAAAAGCGCGAGTGATTGTTTGTGGTCCTTTTCATACTTTTCGGCTCTCAGACAGGTTTTTTGATGTTTTTGATGTTTTCCAGCCAAAACCGCAGTTTCAACCTTCATTCAAAGCTGGACAGAGCACATCTGCCTCAACTTCATCACCAGTAAAGCCTGCCCCTGAGCCCGCTCACCAGCCATTTTCATATGCAGAATATATTGTCCAGAGTAAAAGCAATGTGGCTGCTCCTGCTAAGAGAGACGGTCCCCCTAAATCACTCAGGACTGAAGATGTTGGTGTGAACAATCTGAAGCAAAGTGGGGCAGAGTCAGTGTCGTCTGCCCCAGGAGGGTGTGAGACAGTTCAGGACTGTGCTAAAGGGACTGAAGGTGGATCTGAAGATGTAAAGAAGAGCGAGGGGACAGTTGCTGCTACAGACCAAAAAGAAGGGAACTGTCAAAGGTCAGATCCAAGCCTGGGTCCAAAACCAGTGGGGTCCGGGATCAGTATCATTGTCAGTCCTCGACAGGTATGCATGAACATGTATGTGCCTTTTAACTTAGGCACAAGCAGGTAACATCCAAGTTTGACATTCCAGTTTGACTGATCTCAGGCCCTTTAACTGTCTTGCTCAGTGGTAGGTATCTCATTGCATATGTGTTTTTACCAATTCAGAGGGGAAATCCTATCCTGAAGTATGTGAGGAGTGTCCCTTGGGAGTTCGGAGAAGTTGTACCAGACTATGTCTTGGGCCAGACAACTTGTGCGCTCTTCCTCAGGTGGGTTTTTGTGCCTCAAGAACAGCGTGTGTGTAGGTATGTGGGATCCAGAAGAGGTGTTGGCATGTGTATGTAGAGGAGCAAACAATGTGTGCGTTGTTTGGTGCATTTTCATGTTTTCTTAACAGTGTGTCATACACACACTTAATTATTCAGACGAGCACTTATTATTTTAGATTAGTGTTGCATGGTATACCGGTACTAAAATAGTACTGCGGTACTAGAGTATTCCAAACGGTACTATACTGCATTTGGAAAATACCGGTACTTTGAAACTGATTCAATTCTTTAATTTAGTTAATTTATTTTACTCAATTATGCACACAAACGCCTTTCTTGTTCCTATTGGAGCACAGATTGCGCAAGTGGTGTGTATGACAACACCTGTATCAACATTCACAGCTGGCGCACGTGAAAAAGGACAAGAGAAAGTCTGCCTCGCAAAGGGAGACAACATGAGACAACACAAACTTGGTGGAACATTTGAGTTACCAAACCGTGACGTCCGTACCGAGGTACTTACCGAACCATGATTTTTTTGGTACCATCCCTACTATTTATTGTTCTAAAGGTTTGTATCCAAAAGGACTTTTCCTTAGGAAAAGTACTGAAGAGTATCGAAAAGTACCGAAATTCATATTGGTATTGGTACCAAAACAAAGATTTTGGTATTGTGACAACACTATTTTAGAATAATATCTGATGTGCAAAATGCCCTTTTTTCATATGTCTTTTTCTTCCCCTGTGTGTTTTGTTTTGGGCCTGGCATAAAGTCTGAGGTATCACAATCTCAATCCAAACTATATCCATGAACGTCTGAAGCAGCTTGGACAGACTTTCACCCTGCGAGTGTTGCTGGTACAAGTAGATGTGGTAAGTTAAAAGATATTTTGTATTCAAAACATTAAATTTGACTTTGACAAGTTATATTGAATGACTCAATATTATCTGACTCACAGCTGAAAGTGCTGTGTTTTGTTAACGGTAATGTTTTAACTCCTATAAGGTAGTATTCCAGTTGTTACTACTGTATTTACCAAACTTTTAAGATGGGGAAGATCATTATCAGATCCAAAGAAGGCATATTTTAATCAATTGATATCTGTTTGTATAAATTTGATCAAATTGTAATTAGTGTTGGCAAATGCTCTAAGGTGTCATAAAGTTCCTATTACACTCTGTTAAAAATGAATTCCTATCTCTGATATACGTCACGTTTTCAGTGTTTAAATGATGCAGCCTTGCATTTAAAAGGCTATGATACATGAAGTATTAAATCAGTTAATTAAATAGAAAATAAATTAAATACACTTTTACTTTGTTACATTTGTTAATGTGATGCCATCTCACAATTCATTTACATCCTGCTTGAACATTTGCAGTGAAAAGGTTTAGGGCCATTTCATAGTCGACGCACGCAACGCGAGCAAGTGATGCAAGCGATGCGAGCAACACACTTCCTTTCATAGTCAACACATTGAATGCAAGCAGCGTGGGCAACACTTGAAATGCAATACATCGCTCGCGCAATAGGGGGTAGCAGAGTCACTGGTACATTCCGGCTAGCTAGTACTGCTGTAGCTAGTTGGTACTGCTATTTTATTAGAGTGCAGGGCACTAGAACTGTCACATAAATGGGGGTCCCGCCATATTTCACACCTGTAGTAAGTACTGTCACTTGCATTATCACCCCCGCTGGCAACACATGGTATTACATGCATCGCTGCGTCGTGCATCAAAAAAATGGACAACACATTTTGAGATGCAAGCCCACATCATGGCGGCCAATGCGTTCGCGTCTGCGTGCCTTTGTGTCGACTATGAAACGGCCCTTAGAATTACTCTGTGGGTTCACTCAGGACTCTACTTCAAAGTCTGTTAAGTGAAAAATATATTTTGACTCTGTTTATGTCAGGAATGAAGAGTGGCTGGCTCAGTTCAGTTCAAAGCTTACTGCTACAGCAGTTCAAGACTGATACTCCATTTTTTTAGTGTTCAGTTTGGTTTCATCTAAATATTTAACCTTAAAAAAACTTGAACACATCTGGTCAGCTGTTAACTCAAGTAGCAAAAACATAGGCTATAAAGCAAATTCATAACAAAGGTGGAGACACAAATACCTTTACAGTTTTCTAGGCTTGCTAGGTTACTATAATAGCTATCAGGTAAGTGATGTCATTTCCCATTAAAGTACAAGGATTAGAGCATTTAGCAATGTTATATTTACCAAAATGGAACGGCCCAGACAACACACTAAACTTTAAAGGAGAGCTGTAATGTAAGCTATCCATGCAGAACTATTTGTGACGTATGTCTTGCCTATGTAGAAAAAGTTTTGCCAACAGTGGTGTAATTGAAGTCTGATGTGTGCAACTGGAGGCAGTTTCAGTACTGTATGTAGTAAAATATAAATGCAAGAGTTGATAAATACGAGATACTGTATGAGCGTCAGATCTGGTTCAGAAATTTGCAGTATAGCCTCAAGTTCCATTTATAAAGCTTTAAGAGCACCTGTAGTTTGTCTTACTGACATTGGTTTTCCATCACAGAAAGATCCTCATCATGCATTGAAGGAGCTGGCTCGCATCTGCATCATGGCTGACTGCACTCTCATCTTGGCTTGGAGGTAAGACCTTCAACAGATTGCCAAAAGGACTGAGCAGTTTGTTACAGGACATAGATGTAGAAGAGTGTGCACTTGGAAACAGTTCTGAATGTTTACTTCTTTATTATCCTGGCCTTGCCACCTAAAGTGTGTAAGGGAAAGATAAAGTCTGATAGTGTGCATCTTTGGGTTTATAGTGGGTGTTTTATGTCCTGTAATACTTTAATTATGCAATAGTAAAAATCTTACAATATGTTGTTATATCATGTTCTTTTATCTTGCCAGAATCAATAAATGAAAATGAGCCTTTTAGCCTTACTCTAGTTCATTGTCTTTTTGTTTGCTGATCAGGGAACATGGTGCCTAATAATAAACTAGTACAATCAAATGAATAAAGAAACATAACTTATTTTCTCAATGTTGATTTGACAGTCCAGAGGAAGCCGGGCGTTACCTGGAGACATATAAGTCATATGAAAAGAAACCAGCAGATGCACTGAAGGAGCAGGTTGAAAAGAACTATCTGTCAAAGGTGTGTGGATTTGCCGTTTTGTAATTAAAGATTCTGAGTGTTATTGCTATTTCTAATCATTTTGCCTATTTGAAGAACATGGAAGGCATTTTAATGTGATAACTCAATATGACACAGTCACATAGACTCAATGAAAATTAAATGCAGTTAGAGTATTTGGCAAAGTCTTGCTGTGATTTCCAGTCTCTCTAACAATGCACTGATAATTTTGTGGGTTTGTTTTAAGGTTACAGATTGTCTGACCACTGTGAAGTCTATAAACAAGACCGATGCCATGACCTTACTGTCAACTTTCTCAGTGAGTACCAATTGTGTGAAAAATCATCCTCAGATTGCAGCTATACTACGATCTGTTTATATGCACAGACATATCCACAGGCTGATTTGATGGTGAGCTCTGAATTAATATTTTCACACTGAGATGATGAATTTTGTCATTTGTTAGTCTGTGGATGGAATCATCAATGCCTCTAAGGAAGACTTGGTCCTCTGTCCAGGCCTTGGTCCACAAAAAGTGAGTTAAAAATACACGTGCACCGTATGAGTACACAGGAGGTAGATGGAACATTTGTGACGTTATCGTGTTGACATTTTGTGCTTGCAGGCACGGCGACTCTATGATGTGCTGCATAAGCCCTTCCTCAAGTCCAAGACAAAAGACAGCTGAAACGTCTTACCATGGATGTGTGACATGCTCCTGAAAAGAAGTTGGTGGTCGTATTGAACAACATGCGACACACTCACACACGTCAGAGGACTGAATTACATACTACAAACACTTGATTTACTGGAGTGAAGAAAGAAATGCTGACTGCCCTGAGATTGTGTATCAGCCAGGGGTGATGTTTTAAGACTTTAATGTGAACAGTTTAGCTGCACATTAATTCTGTGCTTTAAGTTATGATTAAGTTTGATGTATTCTTTTTTTAAAAAATGTAAATAAATGCTATTTTGTAATATTTGTATACTGTACCTTAATTCTGTCTGACCGTTGCTTTGTTCTCCACAAGAAACAACAAGGGGTGCTTAATGACTCGCTGACTTGTGAAAGCTAGGGATAATTTAAAATATCAAATAAAATTATTGAAGTAGATAAAACATGAACATTGAACATTTCTGCTCTACTGTATAAAAATCTCAAGTAAACTCATTTGTATTTGAAAAACTAATAAGGTACCATCAGATATAGTTTTTGAGTAACTATTAAACTTAATGTGCTAAACATATGTGGATCTTTTTGTTTGAAGAGGAGTTCACTATCAAATTTTGTAAAATCAAGTGGTTGGTGCAAGAGCGCGGTGCTGCCTTCAGGTGCTCCTCCGTGATTTCCCCTTACCATGTTCGGAAATCAACGTGTCACAATTTTACCTTGTGTTTTGAACTAAGCCGAACAATGCTGTAAATTAGGCTGTGTTAAGAGAGAGAGCACCTTGAAAATAAAATTGGCTATGGTGGCAAAATGAGGAGGAAAACACGAGATATGCACGACTCATACAAAAATAAAAACAACGAATATTAAGACGAATATAATAAAAGAATTTACGTGGCATGCCAAACATTTGCTGTAATGCAGTTCTTAAATTGCCAGAATTGTTGACACGCCTACATGATCGCGGTCAAAGTAGCGGATCATGTTTTTGTGGAGCCTTCATTCACACTCGATGTATAATAGTGATATTTACCACAGGACGTGAAGGCTCGGTAACTTAACGTGACGTCAGAACAGGAAGTTGTTCCACGCTAGTGTTGTGATGATGACTTTACCGCTCGTTTCACAGTAGTACACCGTTTTTCTTTTCATACAAAGACACCGTGTTATCCAATGAAAAGCTTTAATTTGTGTCGTACAGACAAGCAAACAGTGGGCGAGTCGAAACAACCGTCAGACATGCAGACAGAGAGAGAGGATGAGGATGATGCATCGGTTGAAGAGTATGTTGCCCTGTCTAGTTTCACTGGAAGTGGCAGCGACCAGGTTAGAGACCCACACAGACGCCTGGCAGCCTGGTAACGGCACACTTACACTGAAAAGGTTAAACTGTGGTGTTTTTGTCCCGCAGCTTAGTTTCAGCAGAGGTGACAGACTGCGCGTGCACGCCAAGCCTTCATCAGAGTGGTGGTGGGCAGAGCTCCGTGGGGTCATAGGTTATGTCCCTGCCAGCTACCTGCGCCAGGAGGAGGAGGAGGAGGAGGACACCTCCCTGGAGGACCCATGGCAAGATGAAGAGTACTTTGGCAGTTATGGGACACTGGTTAGAAACCTGAAGGGGTCACACTGTTAATGGCGTCACAGCCTGGTCATCTACAAGCTGAATATGTTGACTTTAGACTGATTTCCTGCCACTCACACAGTCATGCATTTCAGGATGGTGGTTATTATACATTAAAGTGCATTGGCCTTACTTGAGATGAATCCATCACAGTAAACATATTCTCTTTGGACGCAATTGTTATCCTAGTATTGTAATCTGTGGTGGTGTGTTTAAGGACAACTTGGAGATCACAGAGAGCTGCAGAAATGCAATACATTGACGAGACATGTTGCAAAATCAAACCCATAATATATCTATGCTAATTAAGTGTAAAAGGCTGCTGTTTACCCATTGACTTTCAAACATCTTCAGGTCAGCATTTCCTAGAAAACAAATCAAAAAAGGCCCTGCTCTTGTTACAGCAAGGAAATTGTTAATTGTTAATTTGGATCCCCATTAGTTGTTACCTTGGCAATCACTACTCTTCCTGAGGCAGAAGTGGTGATGGATACCTTTCAATTAAGTTCTGAGGTCTCTGCAGTGATTGTCATCCTCTGCTAAAGTAATTTTAAAACAATGGCTGTCTGGAAGGCAGGAAATTAAACACAAAAAAAATAAGGCAAGCTTTGAATACTAATTGTCAGCTATTGTGCTATTGTGTTAAAGGTGTATTGTGTAGGATTTAGTGGCATCTAGCAGTGCAACTAACTGAAACTTCTCCCATGTGCAGAGTGTGTAGGAGAAGTGCGGTGGCGGACGTGAAAATACACTTGGTCCTATCTAGATCTGGTGTTTGGTTTGTCCGTTCTGGGCTACTGTAGAAAGAACAGTAATGAAAACACAGCTATTCTTAGTTTCGGGTGATTATATACAGATGTTATATCCCATTTCTGCCTATATAGCTCCCTAAATCCTACACACTGGGTCTTTAATTGGCAAACTACGGAGAGCCAAAGTGTTCAGTATTAAACAAACAAGACATTAATGAATAAATATCCGTTTGAAAAATACACAAGATGATTCAATGGAACCATGAAACTTATGTCTGTTTCGATGTCACAACAGCATCTTTCTCAATTATCATTTTATTTAATAACGCCACTTTTCATCACACAGTCTTTGTCAATTTAAGGCAAACTAGGCACAGACATAGTTATGTCATTGGTTGTTGCTGAGTGTATAGTTTATTGCAGTTGAGTTTAATTGGATTATTTGATAATGTCTGCATTTGCAATATAATTTATTCTGTTATGCTGTCTTAAATGAATATAGAACACTGTGGGTCTTTGTAAAAGAACATGCAAACCTGCCAATATCATCTTGACTACACCACGTGTCATGACTTGTCACATGTTGCACTGAGATACTTATCAAAGAGTCGTATTAGTTATTCTGTTTTATTCTCACTTCCTTTTTTTTAATCCCACAGAGGCTTCACTTGGAGATGCTGTCAGATAAGAGCCGCACTGAGGCGTACCGCCACGTTATTCTCAGCAACAGTGCCTCTCTAAGGAATAAGGTGGTGATAGACCTCGGCTGCGGGACTGGCATCATCAGCCTGTTCTGCGCTCAGCTGGCACAGCCCTCAGAGGTAATGGCAACAGTATGGCTGCAGGGTAAGTCACTAAAACACTGAGGCTCAGGTTGCTGGTTATGCCGTCTACAGGGTATACACCAGTGGAGGCAGCTCCCACAGATGACCTGGGGAAAAAATATGAAGTGAAACAAAGCTGAATAAATATGATTTATGTAGGGAAAATAAACAATTAAAAAGTTTGCTGAGGCTATCATGCAAACTTTTATGTTACAAAAATTAAGCGTGGATCATTTTTTAAGTACCTGCTTCCTCATTTATTGTTAATGACTGATGTACATATCATATATAGGGGTGTAAGCAAATAAAGAGTTTAAAAGTTCAATAGCAATGCAGCCGAACCAGAGATACTAGCGACAAGTCTTCCGTCAGTTGAGATTTGGGTGTGTTATGCTAGTAGGAGCTAATGTAGCAAGTTACACAACATTTTTCATGGATGCAGTATCACTTCCTATGACCTGTAAACAGGCTTTGATGTGTAAAATTGGGAAAATTTTCCTTTTAAGTATCAACAATTTGTCAGCCCATCTGGGAAAACAGTCATCTATTTCCAATTTTTGGTATTTTTAACCCCAAAATGTTTTTGAAATTAGACCACATTTGCATAAAGTAACACACAATTATAACAGAAATTTACATATTATATATTTGTTTACCCAAAAATGTAGTTTAAAGCTCTGAGTTTATCTCAAATGACACAAAACACAAGAAAAATAGCCTGAAACATGAGCAGTCTCTGTGTAATGTACCAGACTGCTCATTACTCACAGGTGCTCTGTATATAAAATATTGGTGTACCTATACTCCCACCTGCTGGACAAGGAGTGCTGCTACATGGCATAACCAGCATACAGTGTCGAAGTCTCTCTGTGGTTCTTTAGGTGTATGCTGTGGAGGCGAGCTCCATGGCCGAGTACACCAGACAGCTGGTGAAGCAGAATGGCTGCGAGGAGGTGGTCACGGTGCTCCAGGGACGAGCTGAGGAGATTGAGCTACCCGAGCAGGTGGACGTCCTGGTGTCAGAGTGGATGGGAAACTGCCTGCTGGTAATAACGCCACTGCCATTACTAACAATACAAGTTACTGTGAGAGGTTGTGTTCTACTTTGCTTTATCTCCGTGCTATTACAGTTTCATTGGACCCCCGTCATGCACTTCCAGTCTGAGTCTCATTCAGAGTTTGAATATACCACAAGTCCCGACATTGGTTGCCTGTCGGTTTTTATATTGATTTTAAAGTTCTTGGATTTGTTTAAAGCTCTTTATGGTCTTGCCCCGACATATAGTACATCTGAAATGCTTACAGGGTGTAAACCAGTACGGCGCCTCAGGTCCTCTGGCAGGAGTCTGTTGGTTGTTCCAAAGTGCAGAACTGCAGTCTTTGGTGAGCCAGCTTTTAGCTGTTATGCTCAAAGCCATTGGGACAGTCTGCCTGAGGACATGAGAGCTGCTGGAAGTGTTAAAATCTTTTAAACTTAACAATAAAATATACCCATTCACTCAGGCTTTTGATTAAGAATGGTTTATAGACGTTATTTACATTATTTTTATTCAGCTACATTATTGTATTTATGTTGTAAAATTTTACTTTTTTAGTACTATTAATATTATATTTTTATACCCCTCTTATAGATTTTATTTGTCTTTATTTTGTCTTTTTAATATATTTTTAGTTTTTAGTCTAGCTTTTATTGAAAATTCAATTTTATTGTCATCGTTTTTAATCTTTTTTTACTTTATAATCATTTTTTTCTAGTTACTGTCATTGTGTAGCTTTTAAAACAGTTTTATAACATGTTTATCTTTTTTATTGTCCTGCATGTTTTTGTTGTTTTCACCTGTTTTGTTGCTTTTATTTTGACACTTGTTCCATCTTATTACCGGCTTGTCAGTCATCTGTGAAACACTTTAACACGCACTTATCTGTATAAAGGTGCTATGCAATGCAATCGATCATGTTTCTTTCTCTCCTTCCTCTGGTCTAGTTTGAGTTCATGGTGGAGTCAGTCCTGCTGGCCAGGGACCGTTGGCTTAAGGAAGGCGGCGTGATGTGGCCCTCATCTGCGGCCCTCACCTTGGTGCCATGTCAGGCCAACAGCTATTATGCAGAGAAGATGGCCTTCTGGGAGCAGCCCTATGGTCTGGACTTCACTCCTCTTCAGTAAGGGCCATTAGTCAGCTGTTCTCACTAAACATCACCCTGACTTACTTATACTTTTTTGTACTCAGATTTTCTACAACTAATAAGGTCACTGTGTTGCATTTCATTCTCAGTAGACATGTTAAAGATCTTGATCTCAGAGGTGAAAGTTGAAGCATTTAATATAACAATCTGTTGTGCCAGGTAGTGATGCTAGATATCTGATTTGCATATTTTTTACCTGTATGTGGGCGGCTGAACCAACTTTTCCTAGTTGTGTTACATTGCACAGAAGCCTTGCATGTATAGTTTCCACCAGGGATCAGTGTAATAATGGTTTGTAAAGGTTTTTTGTTTTGAGAGGACATATTCAGAATGTACATGAATTGGTTGAATGTTACTGTGGGTTTTTCAGCGTAAATATTTTTCATCAGTTCGTCTTTTTGTAATATGAGCCATCATTTTATGAGAATGTCTTCAATACCTTCTGAAACTTTGTCATATTTTGTAAGAAACACATTGGGTCAGCAAGCCCCCCTTTTTTGAGTCACCAGAAGGTGGTGCTTACTCCCTCTATCCCAGAGGAAATCATTCAAGGTTTTCAGTCCCTTTATGGGGTATGTTAGTGTAGAGAGACACTATATCTAAGGTTACCAGAAAGGCATCATCAGGAAGTGGGAGGGGGGTGACGCCGGAAACAGCCTCAGGAACCGAGCCATTGAGGGCAAAAAACGTTTGGTGAACGAAGCATGGTGGACTGGAGAAGAGTTGTGCAACATGCAGCATGTACTACACAGGAAAGCTGCATTAGTAGAGGAACAGTGGTCATAATACAGCATGAGAATATATATATATATATTTTTTTCCTTTAATGCAAGACAAATGTTAAAACACTAATGGAACAATACAAGAAAGACAAGAACAGTAATCCCAGGTCAGTTAAAGGAACACTTCACCCACAAAATGATCATTTGTAAATCAATAGGTAATGCAGTGTGACCTGTAATACATGAAGACAATCATGTTTAACTACAGCAAAACCCTATCAAAACATCAGTATTGTCCAAGTCTCACTATCCAGTCTAATTTGCAACCAAGGTTTGAGAGAAATAAGTCCTTTATGTGCATAAAAAAGTCTTAGATCTTTGACATAACCTGTGAAAATGGGCGCAAACCCCAAAGTGTTGCATTTAAATGTTTGTTCAGTGTATTATCTGTGGCAGCAACCTCACTTCCCCATGGTGCTTGATAACATTTCATCTCTGCAGGCCTTTGGCTCAGCAGGAGTTCTTCACCAAGCCCAAGTTCAGCCACCTGGTTGAGCCCGATGACTGCCTCGCCACTCCCTGTGATGTCCTGTGCCTTGACATGTACACTCTGCAGGTCAAAGATCTGGAGGTACTGTGTGTCTGTGTGTGCTCCTTTTTATCATCAATTGCTCCACCCCACACAAGTTGCAGTTTTCATCCCAGAGGGCTGTGTGTTTCATTTCTCAGGAAATAAAGGGTCAGTTTCATTATTGTGTGGAGAAGTCTGGTGTTTTCCATGGATTCACCGCCTGGTTCACTGTTCATTTCGAGAGCCTGGAGACAGGAGGCGCAACAGTGGAGCTTAACACCGGACCTTTCTCTGAGTAAAACCGCAAAAACACTCACTCTGTTGTGCAGCACGAGAAAGGATAGTTTATTCAATAACATCAGTGCTCATGAGCTCTTACAGCAATTTTAACAGCCCATACTGACAATTCAGATCATCACAATTTGTGAGTGGCAAACATACAAATACTTTGGAGTTTAAAATCAACCACTGTGTATACTTTTGTTACAGGCTGCACTATATTTTATTCACTTGAATATTAGTGTCTTAAAAAGAGTCAAAACTGCATGACAGTGCTAAGTAGACCCCTTTTCTTTGCAGGCCAACACACTGGAAGCAGACTCTGTTCATGCTGGACAGGCCACTTAGTGTGTATACTGGAGACTCCATCAGTGGAAGCATTCTCCTGTGCAGGAACCCCGTCTGGAGACGCCACATGACCGTTACCCTGCACTGGAGCATTAACAGCAGCACAGGGGAAACAGACAAATGCCAGGCAAACATTTTATCCTAAACTTTGTACTCTTCTTATCTAATTCATTGATATATGTCCTTAAAGTGGCGGTGGATTGTTTTCTTCTGTTTTACAGCATTATAGTTACATTAGTGACACTCATGCAATTTGTTTCCCAGTCCTAACTTGACTTTTAACTTATAAATTATGTCCTTAAATGTGTTTTTTTCCTCTGTCCCCAGGTTGGGACAAAGAGTTTCCCCATGTGGAGGTGACAGATTCTCCATCAGCAGTGGAGATTCACAGGAAAACAGTCTAATACATCTTCTGCTGAGTTTAGGGTCAGCTGTGAGCTGCTGCTGACCTGGAATAAAGTGAGAGTCATAAGGAGGCTCATCTGACAGGACATGTAGTCCTACTTAAGCCTTGTAAGTACAGGCCCAGGTGATACAGCACAGTGTGAACTATGGTTTTAAGGGCAGAAGAAGTTACATGATAATGATGAACTATGGAGCACTGCTGTGACTTGAACTTGAATGCTAAGTGAATTAACAGGTTTTATAGAAGACAACAGCTGATGACTGAAACAACAAATTGTTTTGAACAGTATTTGTGGTCTCAATGTGCAACAAAAAGAAATGGCTCACTACTCCACACTTTGCTTTTATGGTTTTTTTTTTTTTGGTTTTTTTTTACCCTATGTGCATATTGTTTTACAATAGGCATTTCATTTACATTGATTGTATTAAGTGCTATACATGCCAACAGGCTTGTATGGGTTTAAGAAAACAACCATGAATTATCATGATTAGAGATATACCTTTTTCTATATTTACAGATTACAGTGAACAATGTACGCCACTTAAAATATTATTACGATTGTTAATTAGCCTCATAGGCATAAAAAACAACAACATTGTGGTACCTACAAAGACAATTATTCACAATAAAATTAATTATTCCAAATAAAATAACTGTACAATTAGTAAAATCATCTTGATAGGAAATGCATAACAGCATTTTTGGAGTTATTAAACTTAAACTTTGCTCTTTATCCCTTTCTCTGATCATTTGTAAAAATGTAATTTTTCATTAGTTGTGTTGGTTTGGGATTTTTTTTTTAAAATTACATCAACATGACACTCCTGTCCTGCATTTGTTACTGCTATGTGCCCTGGCACATTTATTAGTTTAAGGGCATTTTTTTCTTGGTGGATGCACTTCTCTTGGTTATGGCTCCGTCTTAGTCTTTGCTTTTGCTCTGGAGCGTGTGTTGACCTCTGTGGATGACGGCTGAGTGGGTGAGGGTTCAGGAGAAGGAGGCCTGGAGAGTGGGACAAACAGGGGAGGTTTAACAACTTTGTCTTTAACCACCTTTACCACACTTTTATCCCTTTTCTGTCTTAGGTGTTTATCACAGTGGTTCACAAACGTATCCAGCTTGACAAAGGTCTTGTTGCACACTTTGCAGTGATATGGCCGCTGTCCTTTTTTGAGGCGTATGTGCAGCCTGATGTATGATGATCGTACAAAGGTGCGGCAGCAGACGCCACATTTCAGATCCTCCAGGGTACTCTGTGTCTTCTGAGGCTGATTGAGTGCAGGCGGTGACACTGGTTTGGCCTGCCCAGATGCCTCCGCAGCCTTGTGAGAGAGCAGGAGTGCCAAAGAGCGAAAACCCTCACCACACTGCTCACACTTGTATTGCCGCTCCCCTGTGTGTAGACGAACATGTGCCAGGAGTCCAGCCTTCTGTGTGAACGACTTGTCACAGTAGGTGCACTTGAAGGGCTTCTCGCCTGTGTGGAGCCGACGGTGGGTCTTCAGATGGGAGGCGCGGCCGAAGGTCTTACCACAATCTGGGCATTTAAACGGCCTGTCCCCGCTGTGGATTATCTTGTGCGCCATCAGGTGGGAGGACTGGTGGAAGTACTTGCCACAGGTGCTACATCTGAACTTCCTCTCCTTGTTGTGAGAGGCGAGGTGAAGATTCAGGTGGGCGGAGGAGATGAAGGTTTTGGAGCACAGGCCGCAGCTGTGAGGGTCCAGGCGGAGGCGGCGGTGTGGACGTCGCCCGTTAGGGAGACTGCTGCCTGCCTGGCAGGATGAGCATTTGGAAGGACTGACTGCTTTTTGCACATGCTGCTGTTTAGGAGTGGCTGAAGTGTTGGTTGAATCAGAGTCCGGCTCTGATAGCCTGCATCCACAGTCTGAGCAATGCTCAGTCTGTTGGTCTTTATCACTGGCTTTATCCAACATGGCGCGGTCTAAAACCAGAGTGGGAGGGTCTTCATTCTTTGACACATCACAGGGACATCTGAAAGTAACAAACATGTGTTATTATGGATGGATTACTAACCAGGTACAGGTCCAGGGGATTCCCTGGCCTTCACCTGCAAAATTTCACTCATATTTATAAGGACAAAATAAGACACAAAATGTCCTCAAAGAGACCCAAACAACTATAAAACAAACACAAGGTGACACAAAATGATCACAAAGAGATGCAAAGGAACTACAAAGAGACACAAATTAACTACACAAACGTACAAAACAACTTAAAGGAGACACAAAATTAGCACAAAGTGAAACAAAATGCCAGAAACAACTAAATTAGACTGAAAGAGACCCAAAACACTCAAAAAAACCACAAGACAACCATGAGACACAAAATAACAAAAAATGTACAAAACAACCACAAAATGACTACAACCACAAGGAGATGCAAAATGACGACAGAGCAACACAAAACAACCAGAAAAGACACAAAATTACCTCAACAAGACATAAAATTTCCTTAAAGACACCCAAATGACTACAAAAAGATGAAAAAAAACAACCACAAAGAGACACAAAAACAACCACAAAGAGACACAAATTAACAACACAAACTGACAAAATGACTACAATGAGACACAAAATGACTACAGAGTGATGCAAAACTTCCCAAAAAGACAGTTACCTCAACAAGTCACACAATTTCCTCAAGGACACCCAAGTGACTACAAAAAGACACAAATAGACCACAAAGAGATGCAAATGAACTACAAACAGACACAAATTAACTTCACAAACAGACAAAAGAACCACAAAGACACACGAAACAACTACAATGAGACACAAAATGACTACACTGTGATGCAAAATGACCAAAAATACAAAATTAGACACAAAAGAGACCCAAAACACTACAAAAAGACACAAAACGACTACAGACACCATAAGGTGACACACAATGACCAGGAAAGACACAAAATTACCTCAACAAGACACGCAATTTCTTCAAAGACACCCAACGACGACAAAAAGACACAAAAACAAACACAAAGAGATGCAAATGAACTGCAAAGACACACAAATTAACAACACAAACTAACACAGAGACACAAAATGACTACAAAACGTCCAGACAAGACACAAAAGTACCTCAACAAGACACACAGTTTCCTCAAAGACACCCTAACGACTACAAAAAGACACAAATAGACCACAAAGAGATGCAAATGAACCGCAAACGGACACAAATTAATTTCACAAACCGACAAAAGAACCACAGAGACACGAAACAACAACAAGGAGACACAAAATGACTACAAGGTGATGCAAAATGACCAAAAAACACAATATTAGACACAAAAGAGACCCACAACACTACAAAAAGACACAAAATAAACATAGGGAAGCTAAAATAACTACCAAAATGTACAAAACAACCAGAAAACAACTACAAAAAGACACAAAACACCCACCATTGGACACAAAATGACAACAAAGAGGTGCAATTCACCACAAAGTTTGTGTCTTGCTCCTGTATATGGGAAGGTGGTGGGGCCCTTTGCATATCTGTGCCCTGGCTTCTATTGTCTCATCACCCGTCCATGTTTATTATGCTTTACAGCGGTGTAGCCGAGGGTGTATTACACAAAGCATGCCCGTGTCAGCTTTATTACCAGCTGAAAACAAAGGCTAAATCACAGATTATATTTTTATCACTTCCCCGTCCCTGACGCCGCGCTGTAGGTTTGTGCACGATAGTACAAATCTGATCATCGGATCGATGACCTGGCCAAATAACTGACATGCAAATGTGAAACCAGAAATACTCTGGCTGAGTTGACAGCAGATCTGGTGCAGGCCTTCGCCCTCAACAATGAGCCGACTCGCTCTGAGGAATAACACATGAACAAAAGGTTTTACATACCGCGTTCATTCTTCCTATGGAAACATGCATGTGTTGAGTGTGATTGTCTTGTGAAGGCAGTTAAACATCTCATTAACACAGACAGATTAGCAGCGGAGGGGGGAGATCGCATTTCAGCTCCTGCGTTTTCCTGCAGCAGCAGCAGCAGCTCGGTTTGACCGGACACGGAGGCTGCAGCATCATCTAGCGAGTGGCGGAGTAACTGTCTGATAATGTGGGAGAGGCAGTACAGGAACTAAAGTGACGAGGGGAAACAGCAGCAGAACTAAGCTCAGCATGAATCCTTCCCTCAAAAGCAGTGCTTTAATAATGCAGAAACATATAACATTATGCCGGCCATGGTTTTTAGTGGTGATGAGCTGTATGCATGCACTATGTACACGATGACCTCCTCGCCTCTCTGCACAGTTTCGTTTCATTGGTGAATCAAGAGGAAGGGTGTGTGATCTGTGATTGTTGCCACCCTGCTAAGTTTCGTTTCATACAAAATATTACTCCATGGGAAAACGAAAGACATGGACATGAGTGCCGGTAATCGACGTGTGGTTTTGGGGTTGGCCAGCAGCCTTTATAAACAGCAGGACTGATGCAACATCATTAGTTTCTTTGGAAAACTTGACAGCAGCGCATCTGATGAGACTCTTCACAAATATGACTGAGGTACTGTGTGCTTTTGTTTTGTTTTAACAAATGTGTAATAGCATTTTTATTAACATATCTGAGCCAATTAACCTAATCATAGGTAATTATGGGGGAGATACATGTAACAATGGACAACAGGAATATTGAAGTAAATTAATTCCTCAAATTTTACTTTTGAAGGCCTAGTGTTTCTTACACTTCATCCACCTTCTCTGTATTTCTCAATTGATGCATTTATTCTTTTGCATAGGCTATTTATTCCTACATTTATGCCTGTTCTTCAATTTCCTGCTTCCATGTCAGGCATTACTCAGCAGTATGCAGCGTCGAGATCACAAAGTGGCTGATGGCATGCCACTCCCAGCAGGCACAAATGGGGCTTACTGAAACTTTTTCAGTATTCTCAATCTGTGTAAAGCTGTCTCTGTTTCAGAGACGTTGGTTAGACAGTTGGTGTGAGCGCCTCAGGTGGGGCAGCAACATCTAGTCAGAGCATTCAGTAGGTAAAATCCAGAGTTAGACTGGATGTGGATCATCTAAGAAAAGGGTACAGTGAAATACTGTTGTTATTATGTCAGTCATATAATATAAGTCGCTTCATGGTAATTGTAATAATCAGAAGATGGTTTATAGTTTATTTTTTGCACAATTAAAACACAAAAGGGGCAAGGGAAAAGAATAATTCAGTGCAGTGCAGGGAGAGGCAAAAAAGCCAGAGCGCTTATTTGTAGCCTCTACCTAATAAAATGTTCACAAAGTTATTAAAAACTCAAAAGTACATAAAGATAAAGAACAATACATAAAATATTATAAATGTTAACAAGCAATTGCTAACAAAATATGATTGCAACAACAAAAGGAGCAGAAAATGTGATATGGGATGTATAAGTCAATGTTCATGTAATTCGAGGTGTGTGTGTGTGTGTGTGTGTGTGTGTGTGAGTGTGTGCGCGTGAGAGGGATAATAGTTTGTACTGTGTTGACCCTTGAGCAAATACTAAAAATGATACAGTAGTTAACTATAACACAAGAGGAGGAAAAACATTTACAAAACAGCAGTTTAATGTTTTTTCAGGCATCTTTTGTAAGACTTTATAGAGATACAAGTTTATACCAGGTGGAAAAAAATCATTTCATAGTTTAGTTGCCTTAAATCTTATTGAAAATTGACCTCCACAAGTCAGGAATGTAGGATGGTGAAGATCAGAAGATTTACTAGATTTTTAGAGTTAAGTGTGAATGTAGCTGTGAATTAGCTGTGAAAAAACAAGTCGGGAAGTGCTCAGGAATGTTTCCTTTACTTGAAAGTGTTTTGTAAATAAAAACACATAACTTGAAAAATATTAATGTTATATATAGTGAGAGTCTCAATGTGATGTGTGGTTCTGATCCGGTTGTGATTATTACAAAACGTTTCTGGAGGACCAACATTTTATGTAGAGTAGTCAGAAAAGTACTTGCAAACTTCCAAACTATATTACAATATGAAAGATAGGGATAAATCAGACTATAATAAAGAGTTAGGAGACAGTTTGTGGTAGGTCGGCTGTTCGATCCCTAATCCTCTCCAGTCACAGTTTGCGCAAGTTAAATCAGCTGTGTGGCAGCAGGTAATCCATCACGTGGATAAAGAAGAGATTGTTGTTCTGTAATGTAATGTGATGCACTGTACTCTTACAGCAGCCAAGCCAGGAAGGATGAGTTCGAAGGCAAAGAAAAAATCTCGGTGAGTTGCACCTCTATGTTTTTATGTTGTTTTATGTGTAAATTGATGACTGTAAGAGGCAGACCACCCATAGAGGAACATGCGATTTGACCACAGTGCACTGCAGCAATGTTTAAGCTACTGACACTGACTTCCAGCCATTGGACTGCCTTGATTGCTTTTTGGGGGAGGTTTTGCATACATGCTTGTTTTTCGCTTTTTGTATGTGAAAGAACAACATGTTAAATCAACTTGTTTGAACATGCTTACTATACAAGGCTATATCATCTGAACTCACAATACAGTTTGGCATGGTGAGAGAAACAGTCAGTGACACATGCATCAGTGGTGAGAGCTTATGTTGTTGTCATGGCGACCACCTGTGTGTCAAGCCCGTCAGAAAATCAAAGCAATACTTAAGCTTGTATTTACAGTATTCTACTCTCATGAAGGTGTGTTGGTGTCAAAATATGAACTCTATTCTATTTGCATGTCTGATTATACACAATAACAATACAAGCCCTATACAAGAGCTTTTTTATTAGTCTTGGAGCACCCACCAGTCTAAATTTCATACATGAATTCAACTATTTGTAGCTAGTTATTATCAAAATAATCAAAATTCATATCCAAACCAGTCATTTTATTCATTTATTTTTACCAGTCATATATTTTATAAGTGCACAGTAGGTAGAGCAAGTGCTTTTTCTTTTTTTTACTTGTGTATCAGTTGTTGTGTATAAGACGATAACGTCACATACAAAATACTTGTGAACATTATGGCTCTGAATCCACTTTATTAACCAGTACTGATGAGTAAAGCTCTTAAACTTCATAGATAAACTTCTAAGTCAAATACGTGCTGGGCAAAGTTGACTCTGTTCCCAGCTTTTCCTTTCCTAATAGCTTCAGGAGGCCTCACCCTGTGCTGATTTCAATTTTAACTCTTGTTTCTCACTCTTTAATCCTCCTGCTTCATTCAGAACGTCCTTCGGGGCAACGGCACCGCCTTTCATCGACTACCTGCAGGATATTCTACGTCGATATCCGGATGGTGGACAAATCTTGAAGGTTGGTACAATACTCCGTCGAATATTGGTTATAATATAACATTTCATATTTTCTAACTGATTACTGATTCTTATTCTGTAGAACTGCTTTATACACGCATGGATTTTGGGAGTCTGTTTCTTTTGGTATGACCTGTGTGGTTGCTTGAATTTATTTTGAATCCTGAAATCAGGTGATTTTGTTTGATTTACATACATTTTGGAATTCACATAGCAAGGTTTCATTTTTGTCCTGCCAATAAAACAATTAATCCATGGGTTTTCAACAGGGGCTCCTCAGAGTTACGGTAGAGGGGCCGCCAAATTATTGTTTGATCATTTGAAAATACAGATTAACATTAATCCAAGGTTTATACATGGCACTACTGTAGGCCTAGTTTATGCAACTCAATTTTATATATGTAGTAGGGGGTCCCTGATCTGTCTCTCTTTCAGCTAAGGGGTCCTTGGCCTGAAAAACATTGAAGACTCCTGAATTAATCCATTCACATTAGTTTTGATTTCATAAAAACCGGATGGGCCCCGGCACTTTAGCAAATGACGTTTTGGCAACACATGTTGCAATGAATGTGTTGTGCAATGTTCCAGTAAAACAGTCACAACAAACAACTGCCACGTTAATATTGCTGTAATGGCTGCATTCCCCGCAGAAGACATTTGAAGAAGAAGAGGCAGATGCACTTGATTAATACTTGAGGGGAAATTACATTTTTTCAGTCTTGTTATTTATGTTACACACAGCCAGGCCTGATATACACACATTTAGTTATCAGATTAGTGAAGTAGTCCTTTGTGCTGGAGGTAAATAACTAACTGTGGGAGCCTGTTTAAGTCTTGCTCGCAACAAACATATTTCTAATATTCACCCTGAGGAATCTGGCAATTGTTTGATAATATTCTTTCAGTAACAAATGCCCCCCAGCTGTTTTAGTTTAATTTTGCTGTAAGTTAGATTTGTTTAGCTGCATCTGCTCTTTGTGTGACAGTATAGGGTCTGCGGCCCCTGTTTAAAATCTGTTCTGTATTGCAACTGATTTTAATTGAATGGGCAAAATCTTGTGTCTGCATATTTTCATTTTAAATCTAGATATCAGATGGGGGATTTTCAAGAAGGCAGTTTTCTAGTGGGGAAAAAATAGATTATTTTTCTGAGAAACTGAGCAGGATTAAATTGTTGTGAAAAGACATCTTTTTCTCAGTTATCAGCTTACGAATCAATTATGCAGCAGCTCCATCAGTGGAGCTTATCGAAAGAAAATACTGGTTATTGTAATTTAGTATAAATCATGCTCCCATAAGCCTTTTTCATAGTAGACTTTTTGTTATTAATGACAACTGTACTTCTCCAACAGTAACGTGTCAGAGTGTCTTTTGTTAAAAAGGCCTATTGGTGGATCTTTGCACTTAAATAATTAATATTGAAGCATGATATCACTGCATTGTTGCTTATTAATTTAGTCATACATTCACGTTCTTTTGCAATTGAAAATACACTGAGGGGCCAGTGTATCAGGTGCCCCCCATTTATGTCAGTGGACAAAATATTAAAAATTGTACAATATATGAATGTGTGTATATATAAATATAATGCAATACAAGCCAACAACACAACAAACTACATACTTGAAAACTGCAAGTACAATCAACAGCTCTAATGAAAATGAAATTGAACATGATAAACCACATTTATCGTAAAGCTGTTGAACTGGATTTCATTAGATTTAGTCTCAGTGGGTATGCTGAATAAACCAGTTATTTGGT